AGGGGAAGCAACGGCAGTGAGACCTTCTCCTGCCGACCAGGGAGCAAACCCCGGCCCACATTAAGCCAGCCCCAACCTCTCACCATCTTGTTCTCGCTGATCCTCTCCGTAGCCTGGATGGGTCGGTCCAGGCTGGGCTTCCCGATGTAGATGTCCTGCGTGTGGGGGTAGCTGGAGAGCAGCTTCACCAGCGTCCGCACGGGGGAAGCAACGGCAGTGAGACCTTCTCCTGCCGACCAGGGAGCAAACCCCGGCCCACATTAAGCCAGCCCCAACCTCTCACCATCTTGTTCTCGCTGATCCTCTCCGTAGCCTGGATGGGTCGGTCCAGGCTGGGCTTCCCGATGTAGATGTCCTGCGTGTGGGGGTAGCTGGAGAGCAGCTTCACCAGCGTCCGCACGTTCACGTAGTTGTCATCGTCCACGTGGCAGAACCACCTGCGGCGGCAGCGGTGTCATGCCGGGCCGGGGCAGCTGCCCAGACCCCACGCTGAGATACAGCCACAAAAATGCCAACGGCCTCTGCGCGCACCGTCCCCTGCCCTCACAGCCCCGCCATTCCCCCCGCAGCCACGGGCACGGCTTACTTTGCTTACTTTCTGCCCGACTCGATGAACTTGTCGTACTCCACGGCCATCTTGCAGGACAGGGCCTGGCGGCTGTGGGCGGCCGAGCAGTTGGTGTTGATGACGTTTCCTGCGGGAAGAGACGAGGGTCAAAGCCCGGCTTTGGGGGAATCCCACACTGCCCCGCGCGCTCGAACGGCGACGCTTCACCGCGCACATTCCAGGGGCACCAGGGAAACCCCATGCATGTCCCTGATGCTCAGTGGCCTCTGTGCCACATCATTCTGGGCAAAGGATGAATTTTTTGGGGAATGGCTTTTGGGTCCACATGAGACAAGGGAAGGGATGAGCGAGGAATGCGGATGCAGCAGATGCACCGGGGTTGAACCGTATCCCATGTGCACGGTGCCACCCTACAGCACTTTGCCCGTGCCAGGGCCATGTACCAGCCGCCTCGGGAGCAAGGGAGGGTCCGTGAGCTGGCTTCTCCGCCCAGGACATGATAGCCAAGATCCTGCCCTATTCCCGCTGCCTTTTCCCACAGCAGTCACCTGTTACTTGCTTGCCCGACTCAAAGGCAATTCCTTCCCGGCCTGAAAAGGAGTCATCTGCATGGGGAGAATAGACCAAGCTGACCCTGGTCCTGGGGAGCGGCTGCCAGGGAAATGCTCCCATGAAACCCTGACGTCCTTGCCCATCTGTCCCAGCTCGCCCCAGGGACAAACTGGTGCAAAGTCACCCCACGCCGTTAGCGTGCTCCTCGGCAGCACCATGCAGGAGATGGGCTGGGCTGACTGGGAAGGAAACCATCCCCAGCTGGGGCTCCCAGGCAGAGCGTGCTTTAGGCACCATCAGTGAAACAAGTTGCCTTGTTCTCAGCCCAGGTCTCTATGGCAAGGGCTCATGAGATTAGTGTCTAGCTGGTGTCATTTTGACCATTTTTTCGGAGTTCCTGGGGCAGGCTCCACACCAGCCGTGCTCCCCAGGTGGCAGCTCCTCAGGGAACCTGGCCGGTCACATATGCAAAGGGACAAGGGCCGCAGACTCACGTGCTTGCTTCTTCAGCTCCTCATCCTCCCCGTCTGTGAAGATGAAAGTCTGAAAGAGAAGACGAGGCACCTTTGAGGACTGAAGAGTCAAGGCCACACAGCTCCGGACAGCACCCGGCACAGCTGGGCAGCACCGGGGATCGGTCCTGCCGGGGCACCGGTGGTGACTTCTTCCTCCTCGCTAAAACCCAGAGCAGCACCAGAGAGCCA